ACACTGTGGCCATGGACCTTGTGCTCTTCAGGGACGCCATAGAGCACAGTGAGTGCTGCTCCGTGCTACACGCCAGCTTGCAGATGTACACACATGCACACACACATATACACACACACATATACAAACACACATACACACAGTGAGCGCTGCTTCGTGCTACACGCCAGCATACAGACGTACACGCAAGCACGCGCGTGCACACAAATGCACACACACATATACAGTGAATACTCCAACAACATGCTCGGTATTTTGGCTGTTTACTTTATGCTTTTCTGGGATACCATTGAACAAACTGAGTGCAGCTTTAGGCTATACAAAATCATGCACACACACACACCCACATACTCACAGAAACACAGGGACGCACTCATGCACACACACACGCACAGACACATGTGCACGCACACACAACCATACTCAAACACTGGCACACACTTAAACTTGTGAAGACTACAATAACAAGCCCAACTCTGTGGCTATGGATCTTCAGGGACATGCTACTCTAGCTCGGCCCCCTCCCCTTTCGAAGAAAGGAATGATCGGGGCATTAACATCAACTGAAATTCATTGGCCTACTGTATTTACACTCTAGTACTGAAATGGAGCAATAAATCTTTATAGACGCTAAAAATTAGAAGGTCTAGATTTATACTCTCCAAACAACAGTGCACACGGCTAGTGAATGGAAACCTCCTTTGTTTACAATGGTGTTTTAGAAGTCGGACTTTCCCAAGAATAGATCTAAATAGCTCATGAAAAACTGAAAATTAAACTACAGTGACTTCAGGCTCCTCAATAAAACTGTGCACCCTTTAAATGATTCTGAACCACCATTAATTTTGTCAAATTCGAAAGTTAAGTGGTTCGGAAGTTTTAGGCTGCCAAAGTGATGAACTTTCTTTAATATAATATGTAGAGATATGTCAATCACACATGCACCGTGTGTATTTATCCGAGTATTCCTCTTTGACACCTTATGGCAATGTGTCAGTGCCAAAGACCACGCGTGTGATTCATCAAGTCTCACTGTTTGATGTTGCGTGTCCTTTCGAGTCTTTAGTTAATGTATCGTTTTGAAAGTTTTCAATTTATGTGGTTGAACTGGTCTTTCTTGTTTCTGTGAAATATTTTCTCTTGTGGGAATTACTCAATGATCATGTGATTGATATAAAGCGCTCAGAGGTTATATTAGTATGGGATAGAGCGCTATATAAATGCAATCTATTATTATTATTATTCATTTGATTCCTTGTTTTGTGTGTGGGTGGTTGGCGGGTGCTCTGGTGTGGTTTGCTTCTTCTTTCCTATTAAACATCTATCTTCCTTATCTCCCCTTCTTCTTTTTTTATTTTTGTTACTCTCTTGTAACACCTTTAATCTTCTGGCGCTCATATGACCTTATGCAGTTGCGAGCGCTGTAAAACCTCTTCTAAAACTAAACTCTACTTGCTTTGTGTCTATTTGTCAGTCTCCAAGATTGTGCGAGTTATTCGCCAGCCAAGAGGAAACATGCTGCTCATCGGAATCGGCGGCAGTGGCAGGCAGAGTCTGACTCGCCTTGGAGCCTTCCTGTGTGACTATAGCGTGTTCCAGATTGAGGTCACCAAGCACTACCGCAAGCAGGAGTTCAGAGATGGTGAGCACGCATGAACATAAGATTAGATGGGATGTAGAGGAGTGGAGAGGAGGGAGAGGAGAGTAGGGGAGAGGAGAGAAGAGGATAGGAGAGGAGAGTAAGGTAGAGGAGAGGAGAGGAGAGGAGAGAAGAGGATAGGAAAGGAGAGGAGAGGAGAGGAAAGGAGAGTGGGGGAGAGGGGAGGGGAGTAGGGGAGAGGAGAGGAGGGTAGGGGAGAAGAGAGTAGGGGAGATTAGAGGAGAGTAGGGGAGAGGAGAGGAGATAAGATGAGATACTTTATTGTAGGATAAATAAGATAAACTGAGATAAGATAATACTTTATTATCCCTTTTTGTGGCTCTACAGGGATAGTTGAAAACACATGTAGAAAAACTTACAATTCAAATTGTATGTTATTTCCATTGTTCATAGTGCCTTGTTGGCTGTATGAGAACTGGTGCTTAAGAAGAGATGCTTAATGGTCAAGTGTGTGATCAGTTTGGCTCAGAGATGCCTATTGGTCAAGTGTATGATCAGTTTGGCGCAGAGATGCCTATTGGTCAAGTGTGTGATCAGTTTGGCTCAGAGATGCCTATTGGTCAAATGCATGATCAGTTAGGCTCAGAGATGCCTATTGGTCAAATGCATGATCAGTTAGGCTCAGAGATGCCTATTGGTCAAATGCATGATCAGTCAGTTAGGCTCAGAGATGCCTATTGGTCAAATGCATGATCAGTTTGGCTCAGAGATGGCTATTGGTCAAATGTGTGATCAGTTTGGCTCAGAGATGGCTATTGGTCAAGTGTGTGATTTGTTTGGATCAGAGATGCCTATTGGTCAAGTATGTGATCAGTTTGGCTCAGAGATGCCTATTGGTCAAGTGTGTGATCAGTTTGGCTCAGAGATGCCTATTGGTCAAGTGTGTGATCAGTTTGGCTCAGAGATGCCCATGTTTTGTGTGAGGTGTTGAATGGAATATTATACAACGTCCATATGGTGGTTGATGGGTGTCTTTGGCAGGTCCTACATCTTTACCATTCCTTTGTTGTTTCTGTTTGTCTTGCTCGCCCTAGAGACCAAATGATCATTATCATTTTGATGTGCTTTTCTTGGCTAAACTTTTTGTGTGTCTTGCTCTTTCAGAGTCCCAATGACGGTTAGTACATTTGTGAGGCATCATGGCAAAATCAGGCGCTCTTCAAAATAATGACATTGAAGAAACCGAAATTTTCCTGACCATTCAGCAATTTTTATCAGATTTTTTGTTGTTGGCTAAACGCCTTTCTTTCATGTCCATGGAAAAACACATTTCTGTGTAAATTTTACGGAAAAACGTTAATTGAAGACACAAAAATGTAAATTTTATGTTTCCAAGGACTCTCAAGCTTTGGAAGCCACCAGGTTTACCTCTGAAACCAGGCTACCCCCACCTCCTTCAATCGCAAATGTCTAGACTTCTATTCAAGATAGACGGGTACTGTTTGCACAGACAGCAAGTTAAATGAAGAATCTTTTAGATGAAACCAATAACTCAACATGCTCAAAAACTGCCGGGCGCCTGATTCCACCGCGTTGCGACACATTTATAATTATGTACGTGCCTCTCTTTCTTTTCTCCTAGACCTGAAGAGTCTGTACTTCCAAGCTGGCGTGGACAACAAACCAACAGTGTTCCTCTTCAACGACATTCAGGCCATTGAGGAGGGGTTCTTCGAAGACATCAACAACATCCTCAGCAGCGGTGAGGTGCCGAACCTATACAAGCCAGATGAGTTTGAAGAGGTGAGCTGTCCTCTCGACTGTTTTTAACCTCATGAAGGACGAAGCGGACACATACGTTCGACAGCAGCAGATCAAAAGCAAAGTTGCGGGATATTTCGAACCATCGTACAGAATAGAAACAGAAGCAACTTTTGTGTTATAAATGACTGTCAATGTGCTTTTTTTTACTCAGTGCGATTAAGGGGCAAATCATTAGGTTTGTTAGTATTCTGCTGGCTGCTGATTTTGGGGCACGTAGTTAGCTCTGTTAATATCATGCTGGCTGCAGATTTAGGGGCACGTAGTTAGCTCTGTTAATAGCATGCTGGCTGCAGATTTAGGGGCACGTAGTTAACTCTGTTTAATATCATGCTGGCTGCAGATTCAGGGGCACGTAGTTAGCTCTGTTAATATCATGCTGGCTGCAATGCATCCCACCTACTAAATGATCAGCTAGTGTTGATGGGGGTGTAAAACTTGTTCAATGACATTTCTTACAGGTGAAGACAGCCCTGGCAGATGCAGCGAAGAAAGAAGGCATAGAGGACAACACACAGGCCATATTTTCCTTCCTCGTTGACAGAGTGAGGGCCAACCTGCACGTGGTGCTGTGCATGAGTCCTGTGGGAGAGGCGTTCAGGTGTGTAGTTTAGTCTGCACCTTGTGTGTACTCAGAGATCATGTATAACAAGATAGTTCACTCCTCTCTTTGAGCCAATTTTAAAAAAGTGTCCTCAAAATTGGGTGGCGCCCTCTTCGAAAAAGTGCGGACTTTGCGATTGGAGTTACCCTCCTTGTGTGAAAAACAATAAAAGCGAAAGTAACAAACCGTGCTATTCCTATTCTTCTTCTGGAGAAACGAAGGAGAGCTCCAAAACCAAGACGCAGCGCCATCTGAAACAATGCGCAAACTTCCGCGGACACTTTTTTGGCTGAGTGAACAATCTTGTTATGTATGCTCTTTGGTGTACTTAACAAGTTTTGAAGGATTTACTCTAAATTATGATAAAAGATATAGGTTGCCATTGTGGGACGGTAGCACTCATAAACTGCACTCAGGAATGCTTTCGTCTTTCAATTTTTTTTTAATTTTAAAAAAAGCTCTTCTAGCAAAGCTATGTAAGGTGGATAGTCAGAGGATGCCGTTCCCTCTGTTGCATTTGTGTGCCAATCTTGCTTTTCCTGACTCCAAATAGCCATAAATGTGTTAAGCTGCTTCTTTTTATTCAAAATATGCTGCATCTTTTTTTGCTCTCGCTCCAAGAAACCATACCCATATTATGCTTGCGAGGTCTGTTATCTGCAGTAGGATTTGTAAGTCACAGTTCTGTCCTTTCCTGTCTGCTGTATTTGTCTGTCTGCCTTAATTTATTTACTGTATGGCTATGCTCTTTCAAAGTAAAAATTATGAGTGGTTGGTGGGTGCTCTGGTGTGATTTGCTCCTTCTGTCCTATCAAAGATCTATTGTACTTATCTCCCCTTCTTCTTTTTTTATGTTTGTTACTCTCTTGTAACATCTCTAATATTCTGGCGCTCATATGACCTTATGCAGTTGCGAGCGCTGTAAAACCTCTCCTAAAACAAACATTATCCTTATTTTTTTTTTTTTTTTACTCTCTTGTAAATCCTGTAATCTTCGGCACTTATATGACCCAATTGTGTTGCAAGAACCTTAAAACTCTTATTACTAAAACGAAACAACCTAAACCTAAAAAGTGTGCTGTGCGTTGTGTTCTCCTAGAAACCGCATCCGTATGTTCCCGGCGTTTGTGAACTGCAACACGATCGACTGGTTCAGCGAGTGGCCGGCAGACGCCCTGCTGGAGGTGGCAGACAAGTACCTGGGAGAGATGCAGCTGGGAGACGACGAAGCGGTGAGTAGACACCATAGCAGTGGAAGAAAGATAGAATTACTGAAAGAAAGAAAAACATTCCTTTTTTTTTTTCTTTCTTTCGTTATTGGGAATATCAACACTCAAAAAAAGACATTCCTTTTTTTTTTCCCTTCTTCTTTCGTTATTGGGAAAATCAACATATAAACACTCATAACATATATTCGAGGCAGTGTAGTGAAATCGGGAGCTCGTCAAAATACAGAGATCGCAGAAACAGGCATTTTTCTGGCTAGTTTCACTACTGAAAGCAGGCGACCTCACTCCCTTCGATCGCAAGTATCCTATGTTCTGTTCAAGGCAGATGGATATTTATTTCATTGGGAGCAAAGGAAATAAATCAGCTTACAGATGATACCAATGACTCAACATGTCCAAAAATTGACGAGCGCCCGATTCCACCTTGTCGTGATATATACGGCTTAAAATTGCAAAATTGCATCTTTAAATGTATGTGAAAATAGTAAAGGTTTAACGCCCCTATCAACAAAGCAAAAATGGAAGACAGATAGAATTAGTGAAAGAATAAACAGTTCTTTTTTTTCCTTCTTTTTTTCCTTTCTTTTTATACGATTACCTTATATTGATTTGATCAAAGTATCTAGTCAACTTGTTCCTAAATAGAGCAGTACAGAAAGAGGCATCAAAAGAAAGATGGAATGTAAGTGAAAGCCTTTTTTTCTCCTTTCCATAATTTTGTCTTTACATTGATGAAAATGTGTTGTTTAAGGTAGTAACAAGGGTTTTTTTTGTGTACTATAAGCTGTCAGATGAAGGTTGTTATCATTAGTGTCATATTGTCGTACAAAAATATATAAATAGACATTTCATACTTAGTCTTCGTGCTGTTACTTTGGGCGAAGGCGATTTTCTTTACTTTTTTCCTCCCCATTTTTTCTGTCCACCTGTCTGTCTGTCTGTCAGTCTGTCTGTCTGTCTGTCAGTCTGTCTGTCTGTCTGTCCACCTGTCTGTCAGTCTGTCTGTCTTGCATTTTTCTCACACTAATTGGCCATTACAGTGTTAATGCACTTCTCTTTACTCAAAAACGTAATACTTTACAAGTCTTCATACAATTAATCCTGTACCTTTTCCCTGTGGGTCTAACACATTTTATGACAGGACCAAGAGAGATATGACCTGGTAATTATATTGCTGCTTTTTTTGCTTGTTTTTGCATTTCTTCATGTGTTTGGGTTTTTTTACCATGGGGTCTTGGGCTTTTTGTTTGTTTTTATGGATTTTAAAAAAATGGTTTGTCATGGGTTTACACACTTGTGTGGCCATAATACAAATGCCAAAATCATTTTTTAAAAAAAGATTTCTAGTTACTGGTAGGGTTAAAAATGCCTGTTACTTATTTTGTATCTTTAGTACATCAAGGTTTGTTTTCGCGAACTCAAAATCCAGTTATTGAGATTTTTAAACTTTTGTTCAAGTTAACCTTAGGTAAGGGCTGGGGGGGTTTTTTTTCTTTTCTTTTTGGATTTTTAAAACTCTTCTTGAAATAGCAAAAGAAAAAAAAAAGATCTTGGCAATTGTGTTATGACTGATGATATAACAACTGCAAAGATGGCGACACTGGTGTCGATATGACATCAGATGTGTGCTGCATTGTCCAACATTGGTCCTGATTGATTTTATTGTTTTGTTTTGATTATCTTTTGAACCGTCATTTTGCATTATGATTTAGTTTTGAGTTTCACAGTTTGGTTTTCAGTTTTGCTTTTCTTTTTTATCATTTGAAATGTTTGGGGTTTTTTTTTGTGGTTTTGTTTGGTTTCTAGAGGTGTCATTTTGGGATAACAATATGTCAGTAGTTTCAATTTGTGAACAGAGGCATGCCCCCCCCCCTCTCAAATTTGAATTTTTTGCCTTTTTTCTTCGTTTTTTGTGTGTTTGTTGAAAAGGATTGCCAAGTGTCAAGCTGCTTGGATTATAGTGCATGCGATTTTGGTGTGTGTGTGAATGTGTGCATCTCTGTGTGTGTTTGTGTGTGTGTTTGTGTGTGTAATAGTTTAGATTCATATGTGCATGTTTTTGCATGTGCTTTAGTTTGTTTTCTTATGCTTCTGTGTGTGTGTGTATGTGTGTGTGTGTGTGTGTGTGTGTGTGTGTGTGTGTGTGTGTGTGTGTGTGTGTGTGTGTGTAATAGTTTAAATTCTTATGCGCATGTTTTTGCATGTGCATGTGCATGTGCTTTAGTTTGTTTTCTCATGCTTCTGTGTGTTCGTGTGTGTATGTGTGTGTGTGTGTGTGTGTGTGTGTGTGTGTGTGTGTGTGTGTGTGTGTGTGTGTGATGTTTGCATTTAAATTCATGGAAAAGACAAATGTGTGATTGAGGATCTTGCAGCAGTGAACTGCAGTGCGCTCAGCCTAATTGTATAGATTTGTGAAGACACAACGCTTTCTAATGTGGATTTCTGCCCCACCCCCCCCCACCCCCAAAGTGTTCTTTGTTGTTGTGATTGTTATTATTACTGTTCTTTTAGTTATTGTTGTTTTTTGTTGTTGTTGTCGTGACTGTTTTTGTATTTAAAGTTTTACTTCGTGGTTTTTTTGTCATTTCGTTCTAAAATAATTATTAATACAATTGCTATTTTTGTTATTGTGTTTTTATTGTTACTGTTGCAGTTGTTGTTGTTGTTGTTCTTGTTTTTATCATTATTGTTGCTGTTTTTCATCTTGTATGATGTTGTTACAGTTGTTTTTGTTGTTACTGTTGTTGTTTTTATTGACCTCGTGATTGGTGTTAGCCCAGATAACAGCTTGCATGGCTTTGTTTAAGCTCAAACATAGTCGCTATCAGGGTAGCCTTGGTCAGCACACCACACACAAACACACACACACACACACGACACGCACTCTCACACACTCACACACACGCACACACACACACTGATACACGCAGCCAGTTACAAACTCACACACACACACATACATGCACACTCAGTCACAGACACACGCAGACACACACACACACACACACACACACACACACACACACACACACACACACACTCACACACGCACGCACACACATCAAACACAGACACACACGCACACTCACACACACATATACACACACACACAAACATACACACGCACAGACACACACACATACAGATACACAAACAGGCACACACATACACTCTGACACATACACACACTCAAACACGCGCACACACATACACACACACACACACGCACGCACGCACACACAGATACACACACATGCACACTCACGCACACTCACGCGCACATGCACTCACACACAGACACACGCCCACTCACACACACACACATATACTTGCGCCACACTCAGACACACATACACATGCACATTCACACACACACACACACACACACACACACACACACACACACACACACACACATACTATGCTGCTGCTGAAGATTGACATGGCTGTAAAGACAGCAAGGCTGGACTGCTGGGTTCTGCTCTAACCTGATTCTACTATGCCTAGTTGTGTGACATAACCAGGGAGGAGGGGAGCCATCGATTTGTCGCTTTTAAGCACAAGGGGGCTATCCCGAAAAATGCTGTTTTTAGAAAAGCGAAGGTAAAGTTTTTGCCCCTTGTTCAGTTTCTTTAACAAACAAGGAGAGTTTTCTCTTTATCTAAACAAATATACACACCAATGACACCAGACTTCTCCTATTGGTAGGGCAATCTCCACTTTTGGTATTGGTCAAGATTTCTGGAAACCCCCAAAATCTGGGTTAGCCTGCTTGTCCTTAAAAGCGACCAATTTAACATAACTTAGATGACTGTTTTCTTTTAATGTGTTCCCTGCGTTTTTGGTTTGTTTTTTTCTTTGGCAGTTGGTGATGGTTAGACCTGTTGTTATGGTCCTTTTGTCTTTTTTTTTTTGTAAGGGGGAGGGAAGGCGATTTTTTTTTTTTACAAAATGAAGATTGATTGAAACTTTCCTCTAGTAATGGGCATGTAATGATAATTGGGGTGGTTGGGGGGGGTACCATTGGTAGGTCCTACTTTTTTCCCCCCTCATTGTTCGAATACTACGGAGACTGAGAGACATGTCTTTGAAAAACAAAATTTGGTTTTGGCCAGATTGATGCATGATTTCTGCTTAAGAATGGTTCTTTCACCCCTGTACAGACCTGCTCATTTTATACACCAAAAGAATGTATAGTTGTTGTTTTTTTGCCTTGCAGAGCCAATATCAAACACCCGTTTAATGTCATCACCTTTTTACAAGATTCGCCATTTTCCCCGCAGCTGATTTTATAGGGATTTCCCAACTTTCAGAGCTTTCGTTATTGGGAATATCAACACACTCATTATGTATATGTGAGGCAGCGTGGTGGAATCAGGCTCTCGTCAAAATAATCAAAGTGAAGAAACTTGTTTTTTCCGTAGGTTAGTGAATTTTTATCAAATTTTCTTTTTTTGGCTCAACACCGTTCATGCCCATTAAAGAACTCATTTCTGTGTGGATTTTTCTTAAAAACGTTGATTAAAGACACATAAAATGTAAATTTTCAGTTACCACGGACTCTTAAGCTAAGGAAATAGCTAATATTTGATGGCCATTTTCTCTCTAATTTTACCTCTGAAAACAGGTGACCCCCCACCTTCTTCATTCGCAAATATCTCAACTTGTATTCAAGATAAATGGATATTTTTTTCATTCAAATAAAGACAAGTGAACAAACTTTAAGATGATGCTAATAACTCTAAA